TTTTTTTTTTTTTTTTTTTTGTTTTCGGAAAGCAGGAGAGGAAAAAGAAATACGATTTTGTGGGGACCGCTGGAGGTCCCCGCAAAATATGTAAGCCCGCGGCTGTCCAGGCTGCTGACATTTGCGTGCCCTTTTGTGTGAACACGCGAAATCCGTGCCTCTTGTGAACCGAGAAACTACATAAAATTTGCGATTCTGCGAAAATACGTGGTAGTGAGAGTGTGCCCTCAGGTCTGTATTTCTACAGTTCAGTTCAGGGGTGTACCACCAACTGAGCTAGGCCATTTTGGTGCACGGAAGAAAGCAACTTTTGCCTCAAAGGTCACATCGAAAATTTTCACCGGCCTCATTTTGAACAATCTGGCCACATCGAAGGTCACATCGAAGAGCAATCTGGCCATTGCTTACCTTTCTTCTTTGTGAAGCGCAACAACTGAGTGAGCGGAGATACTTACATTGGTGGTTGCGTCTACAGGGAAGAGTGAGGGGGGAGTGGACGGCTAAGGGTATACTAGTCGGGCACTAGGTGTGCACAGGGGGAATACTAAGTAGGTACATAAGGTGGGATAGTGGAGCGTGAGAAAGGAAAGAGGAGTTAGTTGAACAAGTAAACAAAGCGGTTTGTCGACACCGAACCGGAATGAGGGAGCGGGGAACGGCGACAGCAGGAGCTGCTACAACTGCGGGCAGGAGGGGCATTGTGCCCGCGAGTGCCCAGTCGGAAGGAACCAAGGTGCACCTCAACTTCAGCCGCCGCCACCATTTCAGGAACAAGCACAGCAGCTGCAGCAGCAGGGAGCATTTGCCAACAATGCTAAATACTGGCAGAATAGAAGGGAACTGGAGGAAGATGTCAAGACCATGAAGGAATGGTTCAAAGCTAAGATACGACGGGAAGAAGAGAAGATTGAAAAGAAGAGAGAGGAGGAGGACCAAAGGAGAAGACCACAAGAGCAAGAACGTAGGCAAACACAGCTAAGGCGACTTAACGAAGCAACGGAAATGAGGATCATGGCGACGGTGGCCAGGGAGCTGCAACACTTTCGTACTGATGTGAGTAACGAGATACATGCAGCACTGGTGGCCAGGAGCAAGACACCGTTGGAGAAGGGAAAGGGAAAAGCCAAGGAAAACAAAGAGAGGATAACGGAGGAACTGCTTAGATATTTGAGGGGAGATAATGCAGAAAGTTCACGGGAGGGAGAAGAGAGAGGGAGATGGCAGGTTACACGAGCGAACCGAGGACAACATACAGGAAAATGACTATACTCTCCGAAGGTTACAGATGATGGGGGAGAGGTCACGTCCAAATCAAGCAGGAGAGGCCCTGCGAGCAAAGCGACGAGTGTAGAGAAGAAGGTACCTGCAACATGCAGCAAGACGGGCGTGATAAAGTACGTGCTGAATGTTCAGAAGAAACTGGCGGAGATGGAGAGACGGTTAACGGGGGCCCAAATATTCGCCATTTTCATTGGCAATTGAGGTGCGAATTTCATCAAAAATTTTAAAGATAAACGATATGAGACCATAGTGCAAACATGAAAAAAGGAAACAGGCCAAAAACAAACAAACAAACAAACAAAAAAAAAAACACTATGAAACCCTAATACAAAGACACTGTCCGAGTCAAAATGAAGCGTCTAACGAATTCAACAAAATGCCAACTTTTTCATTATTGATCCAAACATGTCAAAACTACACACATGACGTACCCTAAAGCACATATATATCACAAAAAAA